TGCATGCCACAAAAGACAATTATATGTGGCAACAAATTTCTTTAGAAAAATTTTCTTTGATTTCATGGTCATGTAAAGAAAAAGCAAGGGCATATGATATTTTCATGCAAAGTTGTAAGGAAGGTGGAAATATTGAAGCTTTGTATAGGGAAGGATTAAGAGAAATAATCAAATATAAGGGAAATATTGAAAAAGGTATTAATGACTTAAAAATGGCTGCCAAAAAGGGTTATCTTGAAGCAAAATATGTATATGGTTTGATCTTATTATGTTCATATGACAGTGATTTAAGAAAAGAAGGAGTTGAGTATATGCAATTTCTGAGAAATGTCAAGTGTGTTGTAAAGTGTAGAAATAAGGTAGTAACTTTGTTGGGTAACCTATGGAGAAAACCTTATGGAACACTGGTGCGCAATTCAACTCCTTTATGCTTGGAGAGACAATGCAATGGTTGGAGTATGAAGAAGTGTCAATCTTGGAAAAAAGTGGATACTGAAGATGATGATGATAATACTAAAAACTCATGTGAAAATTGTAGGTGGGATGTTGAGTTAGACTTTTTTTATAATGTTTTATTCCATCCTATTTAGTTTTAGTTATTTTTCAATCATGCAGATTATCAAATTTTTGTAATAGAGTATTTGTAACATTTTGGTTTACAATTTATAACTACTTCTTTGTAATATACAATTTGAATAAAGATGTGAATTTGTTTTTGAATTATTAATTTTTTCTATTGAGGAGTTATTTTTTTATTGTAATTAAATGTCATACTTGAATTAATAAATATATTGAATAATCTTTAAAAAAACAGGAAACCATTTTAATTTTCTTGACCGAATTATGGAATTCGAGAATGAAGTAAGATTTAGAGAATGATTTTTATTCAAATTTCTAAAAGAAAAAAAAGTGAAAAATACTAATTCTTAGTCAAAACATTTTTTTTTTCTAAAAACTAATACATATTATATTTATTATATTGTTCAAAAATGGTAATGACACAAATTTTGATAAAAAAGAACAAATTATCTTTAGATTTACAACGTACATATGTAATATCTAGGAATATATTTTTTCTAAAAAAATGAAATTGTTCTTATTAAAAATCATTACTAAGCATGCGTGTAAAAAATGTGAAAATGAATTTTGGAATGGACTAGATTTATACGAAAAGTGTTAATAAAAATAATATCTAATAGATAAAAAGTGAATAAATATTTCTTATCCATAGCATGATTAAAAAAAAGTAATGATATACAAATAACAATTCATACAAAATAAACTACTCCTTTTATATTTAGTTCTGTCCATCATTATTACATATAAGAAATGATGCGAAAGAGAGATAAAAATAAAAGAAATGTTGAAAGAAAACTTTCATAAAAATTAACAAAGGTTTTGGTGTGAAGCTACTAGGGTTTTAGAAGCGAGCAGCAGGAGTAACCATTACAAAGAAAATGTCGACTTCCATGGTCACGCTCTCAAGGACCCTCTATCGTTCTCTGCTTCGAACCCCTAACACCTATCACCACCTCCTTCCACTACACTTCTCCACCGATCTCGTTTCCGACGCGGACGAGGCTGACTCACCACCCGACTCACCACCCGACTCACCACCCGACTCACCGTCCCCCGACCCCGCCCAAGGAGAGCAAAGGATCGCCGCCGATCGCCCCTTAGAGAACGGCCTCGACATTGGCATCTACAGAGTATTCCTATTCCCAATCCAATTTCACAATTAACACCACGCATTGTCCAATTCAATTTCAATTTTAGTTGGGTTTGTTGTGTAGGCCATACTGGTTGGGAAGGCGGGGCAGGTACCGTTCCAGAAGACGCTCAAGAGTGGCACCGTCGTCACTCTTCTCTCCGTCGGTACCGGAGGGATTCGCAACAATCGGAGGCCGCTTGAGAACGAGAACCCTAGGGATTATGCCAATCGTTCCGCTATTCAGTGGCATCGTGTTTCCATTTATCCTCAGAGATTGGGAACTCTTGTCACCAAACACGTTGTTCCCGGGTTAGTCTCGCTCACGTGTCACTCTTTTGATCAACGAATCACTGCACATTACTGACGGTGCTTGTTGTTGCAGTTCGATGCTCTATGTAGAGGGGAACCTCGAGACCAAAGTCTTCACTGACCCGATCAGTGGACTTGCCCGGCGAATTCGAGAAGTTGCTGTTCGTCGGAACGGTAACTCTTCCTTCTACTTATGTTAATTTGATCGGTACTGTTGGATGTTTTGGATGGCTCTGTTGGTGTTGTTTCTAGCTCTGGATTTGCTCTTGTCTGTGCTTTTATTGTTTTGTCCAATTTTCTTGTAAGAACTAGGGTCTTCAAGTCTTATTTTTGTGAAGTTGAATTATTTATGAAGTGAGAAAATGCTGCTTGCGTTGTCTGTCTTTTTCTGTCCCATGGCTCTTGCTGATCAGAGACGGCTTGCTTTTCTGACATTCTATTATATTTAGCATTCTACTATAATGTCATGTTACTTGGTTAGTTGTTTCTTTCTAACATAAAATGTAAAATGGCCTGGATATAATTTCGAAGTTCAAATGCTTCTTTTTAATAAATCTTAGTCCCTTTTTTTTTTACTCAATTTCTTCCTACCTTAAAATCATGAGTTTGTCGACCTCTATAAGTTAGATTATCGAGTCTTGCATAACTTAACCTTCTTAAATTGAGTAAGTGATGCTCGGCTTCATGATTCAATGTGTGTGTCCCCTGGTCCCTGTTGATCTTGCACATTTTAAATACAAAAGAGGAATTAGTTGTTAGAATGTCTTAGTATAATATCTTCACTATGTATCTTGGGAATATTATGGAATTGAAATCTATTGGTCATCTGGTTTGGACTCACCCTTGGGAGTGGTTACCACCATCCTGATTTCATTATAATTTCTGATTTTCTTTCTTGTTTAATTATGTCAATGATCCTGTTATATTAGTGGCCTTTGGCGAATACTCGCACTTGACTTATATATTAGTATAAATAATGACCATTCGGTTAGTATTTTTTAACATCATTACATGCTACATGAATGTAATATTTCGTGATTAAAAGTTCTTCCTTTTCCCCCTTCCCTACATAAATCTTATAGTTTTAACATTAGTTTATTATACCCATGATTGATCTACTCTCCATATTTATCTGTTCTTCCTCCGTATGCCATTGCAACATAGATGTTGTCATGATATGTTTCCCATTCCATGGATTGTCAGTCAGAGGCTAAAGATTTTTTAGGTAGCTTATGATTAAAATAATGTTTGGCATGTGACACAAGATTGCTTGAGAATCTGTAATTCCTTGCCAAAGGCCTTGATGCAATACCATTTCCTTTCAGGTCGCGTTGTATTTTTAGGCGAAGGCAGTGATGTTGAGCAAGATACACAACAAAATAATCTGAAAGCTGTTGGCTATTACTAACCTAGATGCTCGAAAGTTAACATGAAGAATTTTCAATTTTGTAATTATGTTTTTATTTTTTACCACAAAGTTGGGAATTATTTAGCAGACATATTTTTCTGCATGAAACCCTTGGTTTGGGCGATTTTTAGTTTCTGTGTGCAATTTAGAATTAGGGAGAATATTGAATCTCAGCCTTCCTGACTATGCATTGGGATGAAGAATGTCAATTTCTCTGCTTTTTTTATCTTGGAGGAATAGTTTCTTTTGGGCCAAAGGTGCAGCCGGAGGCATTTCAATTAAGACATCCTTCTTCCAAGGGCCTCAAAAAAAATATGATTAAATAATTGCTGATTATATATTGATGAAATAAAAGTAGTAAGATTTTGACAACTTTTTTTCTCATGGTGCCGTATATCTCGAAATGGTATTTATACACCATTATTTAAAGCCACTATAAGTTGGTTCCAAAACGTGGTTGTGATTTAGAGAGGCTTCACGGTTATGCTTACGCATTTGAAGTTTAAATGGTAAGTTTCCACTTCATATCTGTGATATAGGGATGGGGTTAGTGTTGTTTATGGAATTACGTGAACTTGTGCATTGTCAAGGTCGCAGGTTTCCTTACACAGAGTTTGCTATGTGCATTTTCATTAAGTTTTTAATTACAATTTTCTACGGTCGAAGGTACTAGCGAAACACACTTATTATAAGACCAACATATGTCTCACTCTTAGTTTCGTATGGTGTGAAATGTCAACCTTACTTTATGATGTGCAACATGACAACTTTTTAGTGGTTACTATGTAATTTGACTTTCCCCTTCTCATTTTATCATTCAAGATTCATGACTAAAAATTAATGGCCGGACACAATTGTTTAAATATTTGAACGAAAGTTAAAATTTAAAATTTGAAGCAGTTGTGGGACACAAAAAGTTATTTAACTCATAATTTTTACACAAATTTATGATTATCTTTTTCCGTCAAATTATTTATCGCTTCTTCCGTTTTCTATTTCCTTTTCTTACGTAGAAACCGCCATTTTTTATTGTTTAGAAAATGTTACTGTAGCAATATAAGAAAAGGACAAAGGAATGATGCTTTGGTAGATGAATGACAAGCAATTTAATTCCATCAACAAGCATTTACGTACATAAATTAACATTCACGTTGACATCACCTCTATTAATTGTTAATCACTGTGACTTCATGGAAGATGAATGAATACCAGTACAACCACAACAAACCACGCCACAAGCATTCTCAATGCCATGCCAAACATATACATTTCTCATACATCATCCTTTGTATTACACTCTCGTGATACTTTATATGACATACTAACTAATTAAGAGCATTATTTATGTGTTTACCGTTCAAACCAACCTAATACCACTTCCTAATTTATAATATTTTTATATCACAAACGCAATGGAGTGTTTTTTACAAGGAAGCTTAAAATACACAAGTTATTTTTTGGTAATCGAATATTTCATTTAATTGAGGTGAAATGGCTCTTAATTGGCGTGGGCGAATGTGGTCCATATTTCATTTATTTATGAGTCTGTGTTGTTTCAAATCACAATTTGTGAGAAAATCTAGTATCTCTGCGTCTTAAATAGCTTGTGTTAAACCATGAATTAGAAAGCAAAGCAAACCAAAAACTCAAACACATGGGAACATGAAGCAAGTTCTTTCCGTCTAGGTGTGTGTCTGTCTATATGGACATAAATTTTCTTCCTGTGAAATTGACTGTACGCTAATTAATAAGGCAACCACTTTTTATCTTTTTCCTTTTCCTTTTCTTTTCCCCATTTATTATGGCAGAAGCTTAAGGTAGCATAGACAAACCAACGTGTGTTTTGGCTTGTGGAGTTGTGGGCTAATAAATTTGAAGTCAATCAAAAGTTGGCTACAACTATGCAAACAGAAATCATCTCTTCGTTACAGAGAGAGAAGTTTATCCTTGAGTTAATAATGATATAAATAAAGAGAAGAAAGAGAAAAAGAAGAGAGAATGGATGTGAGGAACATTGCTGTGGTGGTGGAAGATGTGGATGCAGCTAGAACTGCACTACAATGGGCACTTCACAACATCATTCGCTATGGCGACATAATCACACTCCTCCATGTCTACCCTTTAACAAGATCCAAAACAAAAAACAAAGCTCGTCTTCTTCGCCTCAAGGGCTTCCAGTTAGCACTTTCCTTCCAACAAGACATTTACAACAACTTCTCCAATGTAACAACCCTTCTTCTTATTGTCTCTTCTGGCTTTGTTACCAGTAGTATAGCACTACCATTTTTGTTTCATTTATTTTGACAGATTTTGCTTGTTCAAATGGGTATGTGCTATAATCTTAGGATTGTGTTACAGACAAAGGTTGAGATTGTTGTCACGGAAGATAACCGGGAGGGAATGAAAATTGTGGCCACGGTGCGTGAGCTCGGAGCTTCCATGCTAGTGGTTGGACTTCATGATCATAGTTTTCTTTACAGGTAAATCCCGTGATAAATATTTCAGCTTTCAACACAATTCCATGTGGAATTGTAACTCCGAACTTCATTCAGTAGTTGGGGTGAAGGGTATTGAATATTGATGACGACATCCCTGTCTTTATGAATGATACTGATGATAACTCTGTAGTATTTGTGAAGGTTGTGATCAAAGGAACTGTGGATTTTACTCTGTGATTACTTGTTTTCTGGTTCTGGTTTTGGTAAAAGTATTCTTTTTTATGCTTTCTGGGATCACTTTACACATGGGTTTGTGGGACCTGGGTTGATTATCTAATCTGGATTTCTGCTGAACATGAAAGGATCATGCTGTTGTTGCCAGTGAGCTTCAGAAATTGGTCACTGAAAACATTGGCACTTCCATGTGCCTCCTTAATGGTGATAAAAAAATGCCAAAAGCATTTGGGCTCCACTTCTGGATTGGCCTTGCCCACAATAGCAGCACCAAAGTTGAAACATGAAACAGTGTTCAGAAGTTATCCTTGTCTTTGCAATGCAGCAGCAGTAATTTAGCATTCCTTGTAATCTGCTAAAACATGTGTTTGGTTAATTTAATGTTTTGAAAACATAATAATGTTATCCCAATAGGAAAAAGATAGATTTGTGTCTTAATCAAACTGATTCATTGAATTTTACTTGTTTCTGTCTAACTTTGTACAGTCAAAATTTTCACTCTTTGTGTGTTCATATTTCACAGCTTGTCAATGGTCCATAACAACGTAGCTAACTACTTTAACTGTAGAGTGCTTGCCATCAATCAGCCTCTTGCTTCCCCAGTCAGTCCAACGATGGGAGTCCAAGGCAGTTCAACCAACATGGACTTTTCACATATTCACATCTCTGCCTTACAGTAAGTTCAAAAATTTCTAGCCTTAAACTATTTCTCAACATCTCAGATTAATTTTTGTTCCAAATAATATAAATTTATATAATATAAGCGAATGTTAATATTATTTTACAAATTAAAAGTTAATTTTATAAAATTGATTGAGACTTAAGTTTCATTTTTATTTAAAATATCATTTTACTTGTTAATTTTTTCAAAATTGATATGGACTTAAGATCTATTTTTTATTCAAAATCATCTCAAATTTATTATTTATTAAATTTATTACATTTTTCATTATCAGACCAGTATATTTAAGATTTGTGAAAAACCTATACAATTTTATTAAGAAAGATATACTGGATGCCTCATCATGGATAATGATACTTTGATAACATCTTTTTGACAATATTTTAACACCATTTACGTGTCATTCTGTGATTGGTCCAAAATCACTCCACAATCAATAATAATAATAATCATAAACACCAACATGAACCAATAACAGAATGACACGTAGATGATATTAAAATGTTATCAAAGTATCATTATCCTAATTAGATACCTCATCTTTAAGTAGAAATAAATTTTGAGTATATAATCACTTTATAATTTTATAAAATTGAATTACATTTAAAATTTAATTTTTCATGATTTTCTCTCCACCACCACTCACATATCTTGCAATTCATTTGTTTCTCTAATGAATCTGTCACTGATAAAATAATGTGTTATCCATTCTCTTATTTGAATTTAATTTTTTCATTGTGTTTATTTTTCATGTAAACATTTTCTTTTCAATTTTTTTGAGTTTTAAATAAGGAAGCAGTTGTGAGTGGACAATGACTCCGATAAAAGAGTGTCTATCTTTGCATTGCAGAGTGCCTGAAACCCCTCAACCAAAGATAAAATACCGGATTTGCCCTGATCCGACTGCAATTATTTGTCGGTTAAGGTGGTCAAGGAGAAGAAGATGAATGGAAGGTCAACACCTCAACCATCTCTCCAAACTTACCCACTCAATTGGATAACAAAATTTTCTTTTAATTAAATTCAGACCATCATCTTTAAAAAGAAATCTTATATATCACATTAAAAAGAAGAGTGTAATTAGCTTGTAAGTGTTGCTTGTAACTATTTATTTTTATTCTGTATATATTTGAAATAGTAAATTATTCGGATTTCAAGTTTATTCAATCATATAGTTAGAATTTATTACTATATATATTCGATATTTTGTTCATTTTAGAATATAATAAGATTTGAATTCAATNCTTTATATGACATACTAACTAATTAAGAGCATTATTTATGTGTTTACCGTTCAAACCAACCTAATACCACTTCCTAATTTATAATATTTTTATATCACAAACGCAATGGAGTGTTTTTTACAAGGAAGCTTAAAATACACAAGTTATTTTTTGGTAATCGAATATTTCATTTAATTGAGGTGAAATGGCTCTTAATTGGCGTGGGCGAATGTGGTCCATATTTCATTTATTTATGAGTCTGTGTTGTTTCAAATCACAATTTGTGAGAAAATCTAGTATCTCTGCGTCTTAAATAGCTTGTGTTAAACCATGAATTAGAAAGCAAAGCAAACCAAAAACTCAAACACATGGGAACATGAAGCAAGTTCTTTCCGTCTAGGTGTGTGTCTGTCTATATGGACATAAATTTTCTTCCTGTGAAATTGACTGTACGCTAATTAATAAGGCAACCACTTTTTATCTTTTTCCTTTTCCTTTTCTTTTCCCCATTTATTATGGCAGAAGCTTAAGGTAGCATAGACAAACCAACGTGTGTTTTGGCTTGTGGAGTTGTGGGCTAATAAATTTGAAGTCAATCAAAAGTTGGCTACAACTATGCAAACAGAAATCATCTCTTCGTTACAGAGAGAGAAGTTTATCCTTGAGTTAATAATGATATAAATAAAGAGAAGAAAGAGAAAAAGAAGAGAGAATGGATGTGAGGAACATTGCTGTGGTGGTGGAAGATGTGGATGCAGCTAGAACTGCACTACAATGGGCACTTCACAACATCATTCGCTATGGCGACATAATCACACTCCTCCATGTCTACCCTTTAACAAGATCCAAAACAAAAAACAAAGCTCGTCTTCTTCGCCTCAAGGGCTTCCAGTTAGCACTTTCCTTCCAACAAGACATTTACAACAACTTCTCCAATGTAACAACCCTTCTTCTTATTGTCTCTTCTGGCTTTGTTACCAGTAGTATAGCACTACCATTTTTGTTTCATTTATTTTGACAGATTTTGCTTGTTCAAATGGGTATGTGCTATAATCTTAGGATTGTGTTACAGACAAAGGTTGAGATTGTTGTCACGGAAGATAACCGGGAGGGAATGAAAATTGTGGCCACGGTGCGTGAGCTCGNCGAGCAAACACAAACACACAAGCAAGGGTGAGCTAGATATAAAAATCATGTTATAGCTGTCACAAGTAATATGCAAGCAAAGACAGATACAATACACTACACCCACATGATTTGTTGCACTTAAACTTGACTCGTCCGAACTTAGAATGATTGCCGAGCTATGGCGGGTCATGCACTCGTGGTGGCCTCTACTGCTTTGCAAAGCCATTGCCAATGGGTTTCACCCTACCACACTCACGAGGTTAGTCTGTTATCACTCACCTTGGGCCATACTGGAAGCACCCAAGATTAGGACCTCCTGCTACTACTCACGACATGATTCAATCCTCTCTACTTAAGAATGATTGACCATTGTAGTTTCAGGATAACCCCCAAGACTGAGCTACCATGCAAATCATTCTAAACACTGAGGGCACCACCATGTATCCCCCCTTGAGGATCACGGAATTACTTCCAATACTGATACTTTTCACTTTAACACCAACATGATAATGCACACATAAGTCCTTAAAGTAACTGAAACAATTAAGTAAAATAGCATACTGGAATAAATAGGAATATAGGCCGAACGAAAAACATCAACACATAATGAGCAGGACCGAACACCCTGTGAATGGTGGAGACCGAACGGTATCTCACTTCCCAAAGGACAGGACCGAACGGTCCATAAAAGGTAAGACTGAAGAAGTGGTCGAACACTATTTAAGGTCATCCACTAAGACCGAACGCTACCAAGACCACCCACTAAGACCGAACGCTACTTAAGACCACCCACTAAGACCGAACGCTACTACGACTGAAAGCTACTTGAGAGACCGAACGCTACCGAAGAGACCGAACGCTACCTGAGACCGAGCACTATCAAGACCGAACACTACCTAAGACCGAAACAAAAACCAAAAACTACATAAGACCAAGCACTAAGACCAAACACTACCAAGACTACCCACTAAGACCGAACGCTCAACAGCGCATGGTCGAACGGTTATCAGTTCACTTTCGGTGAAACTGCATAATTCTACAGAATTTCTGCACAATTATGAACAACACCTAACATAACCATTCCTAACCATTTTTACTAACTTCTGACACCTTTAATTCTTGTTTTATACTTAATTAAACTTATCTAAATGATTCTAAGCATTCCTACTACCATTTGAAAGTGATTAAGACTCAATTTCAACTCTAAAACACCAATTTTCCCAACTTAGGGATCCAAAACCCAATCCTAATACTTTGAACCTATTTTGATCAATTTAGTGACTCAAACAAGTCACAATACACTAGCTAAGAATGCCCCAACAACCCAATTGCGATTTAGGCCCCAAATGCCCAAAATCACTACCTCACTTCCCCCAATTTGCTCTAAAACTCCATAATTTCACTTAACATTCCATTTCATTCAAGCTATAAAAGATTTATCACTCCAAGCACTTCCAACACACCCAATTACAGCAGCTAGATTCAACCAATTCAGTTTACAGACCTCATGCTACAATTTCATACATCACACGCATCAACATGTATGACCCACTTACTTTAGAGCTTAAACAAGCAAACCAAACAGCNTTCACATCTCTGCCTTACAGTAAGTTCAAAAATTTCTAGCCTTAAACTATTTCTCAACATCTCAGATTAATTTTTGTTCCAAATAATATAAATTTATATAATATAAGCGAATGTTAATATTATTTTACAAATTAAAAGTTAATTTTATAAAATTGATTGAGACTTAAGTTTCATTTTTATTTAAAATATCATTTTACTTGTTAATTTTTTCAAAATTGATATGGACTTAAGATCTATTTTTTATTCAAAATCATCTCAAATTTATTATTTATTAAATTTATTACATTTTTCATTATCAGACCAGTATATTTAAGATTTGTGAAAAACCTATACAATTTTATTAAGAAAGATATACTGGATGACTCATCATGAATAATGATACTTTGATAACATCTTTTTAACAATATTTTAACACCATTTACGTGTCATTATGTGATTGGTCCAAAATCACTCCACAATCAATAATAATAATAATCATAAACACAAACATGAACCAATAACAGAATGACACGTAGATGATATTAAAATGTTATCAAAGTATCATTATCCTAATTAGATACCTCATCTTTAAGTAGAAATAAATTTTAAGTATATAATCACTTTATAATTTTATAAAATTGAATTACATTTAAAATTTAATTTTTCATGATTTTCTCTCCACCACCACTCACATATCTTGCAATTCATTTGTTTCTCTAATGAATCTGTCACTGATAAAATAATGTGTTATCCATTCTCTTATTTGAATTTAATTTTTTCATTGTGTTTATTTTTCATGTAAACATTTTCTATTCAATTTTTTTGAGTTTTAAATAAGGAAGCAGTTGTGAGTGGACAATGACTCCGATAAAAGAGTGTCTATCTTTGCATTGCAGAGTGCCTGAAACCCCTCAACCAAAGATAAAATACCGGATTTGCCCTGATCCGACTGCAATTATTTGTCGGTTAAGGTGGTCAAGGAGAAGAAGATGAATGGAAGGTCAACACCTCAACCATCTCTCCAAACTTACCCACTCAATTGGATAACAAAATTTTCTTTTAATTAAATTCAGACCATCATCTTTAAAAAGAAATCTTATATATCACATTAAAAAGAAGAGTGTAATTAGCTTGTAAGTGTTGCTTGTAACTATTTATTTTTATTCTGTATATATTTGAAATAGTAAATTATTCGGATTTCAAGTTTATTCAATCATATAGTTAGAATTTATTACTATATATATTCGATATTTTGTTCATTTTAGAATATAATAAGATTTGAATTCAATTACATAATGAATTAATACCATTTTTTTATTTAAAACTTTAATATTTCCCTTTTATATTTTTAACACTATGTTCTAATTAAAACGTGTAACATCCCAGATTATATAGAAGCATATAATATAGTGAGTCCACATTTATATAAAAAAGAACATTTAGAGTAAACTGTAAATAAGATAGTTAAACTTACCGTCATCCCAGAATGAGACATAATTTAAAACTTAAACGCAAATAGAGTATTTCAAAAGGATAGGAATCACAGGGAAATCCTCAACAACTAAACAATAATTCAAAATACAAGAAATACTAAGAGAATCCTAAGGAGACTAAGCAGCAACATCGTCTTCCTCCAAAGCCTGCTCTAGAGGCACCTCATCTGCCTCTGCTCACATCCAAGTGGATGATCATTGCAAAAGAAAAACATACCCGAGCAAACACAAACACACAAGCAAGGGTGAGCTAGATATAAAAATCATGTTATAGCTGTCACAAGTAATATGCAAGCAAAGACAGATACAATACACTACACCCACATGATTTGTTGCACTTAAACTTGACTCGTCCGAACTTAGAATGATTGCCGAGCTATGGCGGGTCATGCACTCGTGGTGGCCTCTACTGCTTTGCAAAGCCATTGCCAATGGGTTTCACCCTACCACACTCACGAGGTTAGTCTGTTATCACTCACCTTGGGCCATACTGGAAGCACCCAAGATTAGGACCTCCTGCTACTACTCACGACATGATTCAATCCTCTCTACTTGAGAATGATTGACCATTGTAGTTTCAGGATAACCCCCAAGACTGAGCTACCATGCAAATCATTCTAAACACTGAGGGCACCACCATGTATCCCCCCTTGAGGATCACGGAATTACTTCCAATACTGATACTTTTCACTTTAACACCAACATGATAATGCACACATAAGTCCTTAAAGTAACTGAAACAATTAAGTAAAATAGCATACTGGAATAAATAGGAATATAGGCCGAACGAAAAACATCAACACATAATGAGCAGGACCGAACACCCTGTGAATGGTGGAGACCGAACGGTATCTCACTTCCCAAAGGACAGGACCGAACGGTCCATAAAAGGTAAGACTGAAGAAGTGGTCGAACACTATTTAAGGTCATCCACTAAGACCGAACGCTACCAAGACCACCCACTAAGACCGAACGCTACTTAAGACCACCCACTAAGACCGAACGCTACTACGACTGAAAGCTACTTGAGAGACCGAACGCTACCGAAGAGACCGAACGCTACCTGAGACCGAGCACTATCAAGACCGAACGCTACCTAAGACCGAGCACTAAGACCGAACGCTACTTAAGACCGAGCACTAAGACCGAATGCTACTTCAGACCGAGCACTATCAAGACCAAACGCTACCGAAGAGACCGAACGCTACCTGAGACCGAGCACTATCAAGACCGAACACTACCTAAGACCGAAACTAAGACCGAATGCTACTTAAGACCGAGCACTAAGACCAAACACTACCAAGACTACCCACTAAGACCGAACGCTCAACAGCGCATGGTCGAACGGTTATCAGTTCACTTTCGGTGAAACTGCATAATTCTACAGAATTTCTGCACAATTATGAACAACACCTAACATAACCATTCCTAACCATTTTTACTAACTTCTGACACCTTTAATTCTTGTTTTATACTTAATTAAACTTATCTAAATGATTCTAAGCATTCCTACTACCATTTGAAAGTGATTAAGACTCAATTTCAACTCTAAAACACCAATTTTCCCAACTTAGGGATCCAAAACCCAATCCTACTTCTTTGCACCTATTTTGATCAATTTAGTGACTCAAACAAGTCACAATACACTAGCTAAGACTGCCCCAACAACCCAATTGCGCTTTAGGCCCCAAATGCCCAAAATCACTACCTCACTTCCCCCAATTTGCTCTAAAACTCCATAATTTCACTTAACATTCCATTTCATTCAAGCTATAAAAGATTTATCACTCCAAGCACTTCCAACACACCCAATTACAGCAGCTAGATTCAACCAATTCAGTTTACAGACCTCATGCTACAATTTCATACATCACACGCATCAACATGTATGACCCACTTACTTTAGAGCTTAAACAAGCAAACCAAACAGCACACTCATTAAGGAATTT